CCCCAAGTTTTGGGTTTGGAAAGCTGCTGTTTTCCCATATAAGTTGTGAGAATACCTTTAGCAAAGCATTCAACTCTTTAGACTTCAGATATCATCACAGTTTATTTACCTTATATAGCCTTTGTTACTCCTACCAAAGACCTTCATTTTCTTGATTGGCCTGGATGAAAAAGTTGGGGGGGGGGTAGATGGCTGAATTATATGATTCAACTTTTAGCGATTGCTAACAGGGTTAATTATGATTGCCATCCTGCTGGGTATAAATAAGCCATTTCAGAAGAGGGAGGGAGGAACTCACTACCAGCAAGAAAGTAAAACCAGAAATGGAGCATGTTCTTTAGAGTATAAGAATCCTGCTTGTTGATCTAGGATATGGCTTTGACACCAGAGAAGCAGCAAAGGAGCAGCAACAACATAATCAGAAGCCAGGACGTGAGGCAGTGCAGTGGACTTCTTAGCCCACAGAACAGGTAAAGCTGAGTGCTTTGGGGCAGAAGGCCAGCTTGTTGGCAGGGTTCCTCCAGGTGCTTAATTGGGAGCTGATGGAGTAGCATACCCTTGAGTATTCACTGTACGTCTTAAAAGATTTGTAACATTGCTCAAGCAGGACAGAGGCCAAGCCAAGCAGCTGAGGGCCAAAGAGGCCTGCCTGTGAGCACAGCAGATAAGAAATCATTCTGAAGGATGAACCCTGTGCTTAGCATTTCTCACCTGAATTGGAACCCATTACACTTGTCTGTCAATATTTTGCTGTGTTACAGTGGCTTATGTGTTGTGATGCTCTAAGTTATGTCACTGCTACTTCAAATGTCAGCAGCATCACCCAAAGTGACCAGGTTTCAGTGGAGTTTCCAGACTAAGAACAGACTATGAAGAAGGAATTAGATGCTCACATCAGAAGTAACTGCTGAAGACCTTATTCGTGGCACTGAATGATTCAGATACCAAACACCTAAAGAATGGAAGCAGACCATTTTTCAGACATAGGGTCAGAAGTTGGGCTCTTCGGGTCAGAGGGCACTCAAAATGTGACTAAGGAGGAGCTGCTCTTCAAAGTCGAATTGATTATGATGGCATAACTGGAGGGAAGCCTGTGGAGGAAAAGCCCTGAGGAGTCTCAATGATCTTTAGTTGCCAATGGAACACAATACAAAATAAGAAACAACTGTAAAAATCTAATAATTGGAACTTGGATATACAAAATATGAAGTGAGGAAAATTGGAAGTCATCAAAAATTAAGTGAAATGCATAAAGATTAATGTCTTAGATGCTAAGAGAGCTGAAGGTGAGGAGGACTTGATGTATTACTGGTGAACATCAAGGGTCGCAGCCTTCAGTATGGCTAACAACTCAATGTAAAGAAGATCAAAATCCTCTCAACTGGACCAATAGGTAAAGGAGAAAAGATAGAAGTTGTGAAGGATTTTATCTTGCTTGCATCTACAATCAATGCTCTTGGAGACAGCAGTCAGGAGATCAAATTGGAAGCATGGCATTGGGCAAATCTGCTGCACCTGACCTCCTTAGAGTGTTGAAAAGCAAGGTTGTTACTTAGAGGACTAAAGTGCACTTGACCCAAATACCAAACCAAACTCATTGCCATCAGTCAGTGCTGACTTATAGCTATCCTAAAGGACAGGGTAGAACTGCCCCTGTGAGTTTCTGAGACTGTAACTGTTTATGGGAGGAGAAAGCCTTGCCTCAACCAAACCTTGGTATTTTCAGTGGCTTCATATGTATGTGAAAG